AAATTTCGTGTAATTTATATATGCACTATGCATAAATTTCAAATTTTCTTGTATAATACTATTCTTCTTCCTATATATATATATATATATATATATATATATATATATATATATAGAGAGAGAGAGAGAGAGAGAGAGAGAGAGAGAGAGAGAGAGAGGCAAGATCAGGTGCAGCTATACACTAAGGAGAGGCGGTGAGGTCATTTTCCATCCGTTGATCAAGTCCAATCCAACGCACCATAATTGAGATGATTTCGCGCTTCACTTAAAGATCTCCGCGACATAGAGGGCAAAATTGTCCATTCGTTCAATTCGAATTGATCACTTCTCCACTTCTGCAAGTAAACACCCCGTCCCATCTTCCTATTCACAATCCCGATGTCGCGAACCCTCTCCAACTTACTCCTGCTCTGGCGACGAAAGCGAGGCGAACCACTGCAATGACGAACAGCGAGGAGACTATAGCCGATCACACCACCGCGTTCTGAGAGGGACACGAACCGTCTTCTACAACACTGATTCGCTACAAAACACACAAATAGCGAACAAAGGCAAGCAACGAGCATGCAATGGTATATTTCGTTTATTATTAGTGTATTCTGTAATATTTAACTTCAATGTGTCAACTAACATGTTAACCCTACCATCGTTGTATTCTTTTGAACATTTCAGACTAGGGCATCGCATTGCATGTTATTTGTGCATTATAAACATTAATGTAGTGTATATTATTGGTGTTTTATGGTATTTGTGACATGAATATTGGTGAAAAAACTGTTGGGTGTTTAATTTTTGTACACAGTGCATATTTATCCTACCGTTGGCGTATTTCATATTATGAATTTGTTGTATCTCGTTACGTGTTGTCTGTCTATGATAAGCATTACTGTGGTGTATATTTCGTTTATTATTGGTGTTTTCTGTAATGTATAACTCAAATACTGGTGAAAAAATTGTTGTGAGTTTATTTGTTGTACACTGTGCATATTTATCCTACAGTCAGTGTATTTTTTAGCATTACAGGTTGGGCATTTCATTACGTGTTGTTTTGTTTTATGGTGAATATCAATGTAGTGTATATATCATTTATTATTGCTGATTTCTGGGATTTGGAACTTGAATATTGGTAAAGAGTGTTGTGGTGTGTTTAATTTTTATGCATGGTGTATTTTTGTCCTACCATCTGTGTATTTCAGACAACAAGAGAAAGGCATTAGACTAAGGAGACTCGTCAAAGCCACGGAGGCATAGAAAACAAGAAGCAATGACATTCCTTGACAAAATAGAAGATGAAACAGAGACAGATGAAGAAGTGCATGAACAAGAAGTTGATGACAGCTCAAATGATGAAATAGATACATTGGAGCAAGAGAATGAAGATACTGACCTAAAGATAAGGCCACTGCCAACACAGCTAACAAAACCCATTAATGCCCTAACCAAACAACAACGCCAGAGTATAAAAGACATTGGGCTGGGAAGGATTCTTGATCTCAAAATCACAAATCTTCCAAGGAAACTGGGGATGTGGCTGGTTGAAAACTATGATGTAAGGAGCAACACATTGAATCTGCAAAATGGCCAAAAACTACAGATCACAGAATAAGATGTTGCTGTGACATTGGGATTGCCGCTTGGAGACATAGAAATCACTAAGAGGGAAAGTAAAGCAGTATCTGGTCTCCTGGCAGACTGGAAAAAAATCTTTGGAAGGCTGACGGCCACATCACCCCACGCAAGATGGCTAAAAAATGTTGACATTGAGAGCTGCTGACCCATGGTTCAAACGACATTTTGCACTACTTGTTATGAGTGTGTTGGTGGAGCCACGGATAAATGGTTATGTGAACCAAAGCTACATTGACAACTTGCGTCAAGTTGACAACATCAAGAGGCTCAATTGGTGTAGAATGCTGATCAATTCACTCATTGCAAGCAAAAAGGCATGGCTGGAGAGCTGTGATGCACGGTTTGGAGGTCCAATTGTTTTCCTAACGGTAAATAGACACTCAACAAGCTTGTAATTACTTTCACATCACCCTATGAATAATCTAAACTACCAAATGCAGGTATTCTATGTTGACCATGTGGTGCTCTACCGGAGGTCTGTCCCAAGAAGCTACCCTGCCATGAATAGCTGGACATTTAAACTGCTCCGACAACGACAACAGGATGAGCTCAAGTCTGGAGGATTTGGATATGGACGCGTTGATACTGCCTTACCACTGGAGATCACAACACACTGTGAAGCCCCACCCCCACCCCCACCACAAGAAGAGACCCCACCACTGCCACAAGGATTACAGGTAACCCAACCACTGCAATGGTAATTGGTGCATTTTGTGTGTAATATGGTGCATTATCTGACTGTGGTGTATTTTTTTTATAAATATTTAGTGTATATTACAATATGTATTGGTGTGTTTATACTATAGTGTTTCATGTACAGGAGTTTGTTGATGAGATTACCACCCACACTAGGTCAATTGCACAGAGTCTGCTGAGAATATCAAAGCTAATTGAAAATGCACCTGCAGCAGTATTGGAGCATGATACATTCAAACAGATGTTTGAATCTGCTAGGCAAATGCTTGGATTCAGAGCACAAGATGATGGAGAACTGACCTTTACTCAACGAGAGGATGCCTACTGGAGTGACCCTGAGTTCTTGAAGGCAGTAGATGAGATTGTCCGTGCAGTAAACAAGAGAAATTTTCTAAATGATATGCCATCTTTCAGCCTTGGATTGACACAAGATGAACAAAATAGACAATGGGCGGACGTGAATGATATTGCACGAGACTACCAAAACATTGATCAGGCTGCAGAAAATGAGGAAGTAGAGCTGAACATGAATGAGGGTGAAGAAGCATCTGAAGGACAAAGATGGACAGAGTGCTGAACCAGATGCACCTGCTGATAACAATGATGAGGTAATGCACTGTATTAAATTGGCGACGTGACAAAAAAAAAATTAAAATCTAAATGTTACAGGTCACACCGGCAGACCAAATTCAAGAGGGACCTGCTTCAGATCCACCACCCCCACCCCAACCATTGGACAAAGGAAAGAGACCAGCTAGAGGGAACAGCCCAATCAGACCTAAGGCCCGAATATATGCAACTGATCTGGAAGCCCCAATAACTTCAACAGAGGAATCAATCATACAATGGGTATTAGAAAACCCTAACCCAGAACTGTAAGCATAACACATTCTACTTGGTGTATTTCTAAGATATATTTGGTGCATTGTATAATAATATTGGTGTATAGTTATCATATATTAACTAGTGCATTATTTGATAACTATTGGTGTGTTTATATGGTTGTCTGTGTTGACACATCAGGTGGTCACATTAGTTTGCTTAGGTTTTGTGTGATACTCAATAGTTATTAGTGTATATCTCTATATATATTGGTGTATTCTCTTTAAATGAAATATTAACTTCTAATGGTGTGTTACTGCTATAACTTCGGTGTATGATTTAATAATGATGTATTAATATATTTGTTGCTTATACAATACATTATTACCAGTGAGCAGGAACTATTCAGGTATGAAGGACGGGTAATCTACTGGAGAGATATGCTGTTAATGGCGCCAGATACTGAGATTCCAGTATCTATAGTTGATGCTTGGGCGGCCATACTAAACATTCGTGAAGGAGAGAGAGGGTCTACAAAATTCGTTGCTTCAACCTGGACATGTGTAAGCAAATAATATAAAAGTAACTACACCTGTAAAACCCCTACAAATCTAACAACTGCATCATTGAACTTTGCAGCTATTCACAGTTGTGAACCCGCAGGGGGATGAAAAATTAAGATTCGAAAGATTCAAAGAAAAGTATCTGCAAGACAAGGCGATTGCTATAGACATCGTGTGGCACAAAGTTGTATACGTAAGTGGTGTATTTGTCTAATTGTGGTGCATTATTACTCATATAGTGGTGTATATTATGACACATGTGGTGTGTTTTTGTTATGACAGTTTCTGTTTCCCATAGTGGCATCCAACCACTACTACTTGCTGTCTATTAGCCCACTAATGGAAAAGTTTGACATCATTGACAACTCTTCAGCACCTGTGAAGAAACATGACAAATACGGATATGTGCTTGACAATCTGGTAACCCACTAAACACTACCTGGTTATATATATTTAATACACAACGACACAAAAAACTAATATTGGTGTATGCTTCCTTGATGCAGCAAAAATTCTTTTCAAATATGTTGATCGAACAGAAATCCGCATACAAAGGTGAGAAGGTAAAGAAGCTGAAATCCATGATAATGAAGATGCCTTGGAGAGATGCGCATAACAAAAAGGATTGTGGCATCTTTTTAATGCGGCATATGGAAACCTTCCGTGGACAGTCAGCTGAAGAATGGGATTGTGGATTGCAGAAAAACAACAAAGAACAATTGAACAAGTTACGAGTGAGGTACTTGGCTGCCTTGATCACCTCAGATGTGAATGAACTGAAAGAAATAAACATACAGAAGGCGGCAGAGTTTGGTGTTTAGGAAGACTTTCAATCATGTAAATGTTTTTTTTGTGATGGCATGGCATAGACCATATGACTACTACACAAACAATTTTTTGTGATGGGTACTTGTGAATGGCTTACCCATTTGCATTGCTATAAATGCAGTATTATTATGCATACACTTCATTTTATAAAAGGACACCTCAAAAACACCATTATAACAAATAGCATGCACCATTCCACTTTTTACTTGCAAAATACACCAACATGTGAAATAAAATGCACCACACAATATATTACAGCCAACATAAGTCTATATATAAAAATGCACCACAAAACGGAATAAAACACACCATTCTAATATAAAAATATCCGACATTCTTAAATGCACCACACTGTTTATTAAAAAACACCAAGTACTGTAATAAAATGCATAACTGTGTGTTATAAGAATTGTACGCAACTGTGAAAACATATATGTCCCAAATCAAACTACACAACTGTAGCTAACCATTTAAAGGGCATGTCCTACTATTATGACCATATTCTTCACAAGTATGACATTTCCTTGATTGCTTTACACACTTGCTAGCAGCTTTCTCCCTTGTACTCTTCAACCGCTTACCGCTACCCTTGTTCTTAGCTTGAATAGGATCACGCACCTCCACTGTTGAACCCTGAGACACATCTCCACAAAATGAATTGATCACACTTTGTTTGCTGCCACCAGCCACCACCCCACTGCCATCCTCACTCCCCTCTTGGAGAAATAATTGCCTTTGCTCACAAATAACACGTCGTAGCTGTGACAAACGTTCTATATTACCATCGGCCAAGCCCACGCAAGCATATATGTCGGACCACAATAGATTAGTAAAAATCCTAACATTCTCCACTTTAGAAGATTGATCAACAATTGTATCATCAATATGAAATATTGGCTTCAAACAAGCACCCTTTGTCCACCGAGACACCACATACCTAGAAGGAATACTCTCAAGCCCACGATCTTTAAACACACAAAAAATATGCCTACACAAAAACCCCGTCCGCTCAAACATCTTGCAAGAACATGTAGCAGTATAATCAGACAAGACTAGCTCCACATACCATGCCCGTTGGGCACCATCTTTTATCCCATATGACACATGGCCATCACAATCACACAAAGACACCACTTGACACGAATAACAAGCTGCACAAATCTCTACTTGAACATCATAAAATTCAGAAATGGTGTAAACATCCATTGCATGCTTCTCCAAAGCCAATGGTGTCTTCAAAACAGGAAAACAAGATTCACAATCAGCATTCAATTTTGCTTGTGCATGACGCTGCGCACCAACAACACTTCAAAAATGCACCAAGAACTCAACCAAACTAGAATGACCATTAGAGAACGTACCAAAAAAACTATTTTGAGACTCTGATCGAGACGTTGTCCTAACCAGTCCTGACATAAACTCGTCGTGAAAATATGGGGATGCCCAATATGTACGAGACTCGAACAAGTAACGAAACCAACCATTGTCACCCAAACCATATTCCTCCATGATACAACTCCATGACTCCTCAAATGACTTGGAGTCCAGTGATTTGTTCCAGACAATGCCATTCAACTTCCTCCTAATCACTTCATCTTTAGATAGAATTGGTCCAACCTTCTCACCAACCTTACACATTATATGCCACATGCAAAATCTATGTTTTGATGTACCAAACACGCGAGCAACAGCAACCTTGAGAGCTGGATCTTGATCAGTAACAACACATATAGGGTCATGACACATAGTTTTCTTAAATTTCTCCAAAAGCCACACATATGAGTCTACATCTTCCCTCGTAAGCAAACCAGCACTGAAGGTGATGGATCTCTTATGGTTATCAATTCCAGTAAATGGAACAAACACCAACTTATACCTACAACACAACAAGCAATCAACACCATATTTCTAAGAAGACACACCATAAGGTATGGAATCATGCACCACAAACAAATACAACATGCACAATAAAAATAAATACTAACCTGTTAGTACGGTATGTAGCATCAAATGAAACAACATCACCAAACAACGCAAAATTCTTCCTAGATACTGCATCCGCGCAAAAAACCCTTGAAAGCTGATCACCTTCATCAACATCATATTCAAAATCAAATGCCTCACACAACTCACGTCTCTTGAATAGCGTGCCTATGAATAATTGAGCATCACCATTTAGAATATACGCCATCAGGTCACGCTTGAAATTCTTAAAATCCACACCTGTAGCCCCGACACTGGAATACTCACCAACAATCTCTTTAAACAGCCTATATGACCGAACAGACCCAATATTTGCCCGAACACAACTAGCAATAAACATTTGGTGCCCAGCATCGAGACTACAATTCACCTTTAAAAATTGCCTAGCAATAATTGAACACATCGAATGGGTGTGACGTTCCTCAAAATAATGCACAACATACAACCCATTAGACTTACGCTTTATCACAACCTTAGCCTTACAACCAACCCTATTTGTCACCCTCCGTCTCCTCGCCAAAGTAGTTTTAGCAACCCTAGAAACCCTCTGCTTAAAACCCTGACGGTTACATACTACGTGCTTCTCCACAGCAACACCATCCCAGAATTCTTGTTAATTGTGCAATATCTTGAAGGTTTGAAATGATGAAAACTTTGTATTATAAAAAAAATGATATTAAAGAACACACATAACATATTTATAGACCAACACAACTGAAGGCCAAAGGAATAAGAAATCATTTCAACAAACAAAAATTCTAACTTCCCAAATTATCACACTACCAAATAAAATAAGAGCAAATACCAGTTTTGGTCCAACGAGTATTAGCAAAATGACAGTTTTTGTGCACATGTTTAATTCCTATCAATTTACATCCACAACTATTGTTATAATACCAATTATCTACGACTATTATTTTAGTGCTAAAATTCATCACGCAAGTCACCCCTTCGTTTAAGACATGCCAAAATATGAAATTATTAAGGGTATTTTAGTCATTTTTAAATTAAGATCCCAATTTGAGCATGAATAAATGGATTTAAGCCCTAAGATCTATCTCAATTCGCAGTTCTCCTCTTTACATTAAGGTAGGATGAGGAGGAGAACTATGAATTGGAAGCGATCTTAGGGCTTAAATCCATTTATTCATGCTTAAATTGGAATCTTAAATTGAAAAGGATGAAAATGCCCTTAAGATTTTTAGATTTCGACATGTCTTAAATGGAAGGATGATCGACATGATGAATTTTGGTACTAAAATAATAATTGTAGATGAAAATTAGTACTAAAATAATAGTCGTGGATGAAAATGGGTAGGAATTAAACATGTGGACCAAAACCGTCATTTTTCTACTATTTGTGAGACTAAAATTGGCATTTGCTCAATAAAATAAACGATATGAGTAAGCCAACCCAAACCAATATGGATCGTTATACCCTGCACCACGGTGCGCACAGCATTGTGCGCCCTGCGCCTCCCAAAACGACGTCGTTTTGGGAAGTTTGTAGGGAGTTGATGTGATTATGTGTATTTTTTTTATACAATTATGTGTATTTGTTTATACAATTATGTAAATTTTTATACAATCATGTACACCTTTTTTTAATACAATTATGTACATCCGAAACAGGAAATTTATGTGTATTATGTTAAGAGTTGATGTTTATTATGTTAAAAGTTTATGTATATTATGTATTATGTTAGATTAGATGTATTATCTTTTTTTAAAAAATGTGTATTTTGTTATACAATTATGTACATTCATGTATACAATTATGTGTATTCTAGTATAAAATTATGTACATTTTTGAACATGAGTTTTTTTTTTTTTTTTTTTTTTTTTTTTTTTTTTTTTTTTTTTTTTTTTTAAAGAAAATTAACCGCCAACACAAGGTAGCGAAATTAAAAAAAAAAAAAAAAATTCTGAAACGACGTCATTTTGCATCAGGGCGCACAATGCAATGCGTACCCTGGTGCAGGATATAAATTGCGAACCAATATTACAATAGTAAGCAAACCAAAAATAAAAATAAAAATTGACTCCAAAACTTTGAAGCCCTAATCTTATGGCATTCTGTACCCAGAATCAAAATGATAAGGTACAAAATTTATATTTGTAAGATACAAAATTTAATAACACAAAATACAAAAAATCACACCACAAAACACATATACATGTTATATATTAATGAGTAGCTCAACTGGTCATAGAGGTGAAACTTTGAAAAAATGACCAGGGATTGAGTCTCATCAGCGGTAGTGAGGGGGGTTCTTTGCTCGCAATGAGCACTGGTTTAGCCTCTGTGGTTCATGTTCAGTAGAGATCAACATGATTTACATCCTCAATTGTTTTTCAAATATGATTTAGGTACATACAAAATTTGAGTTTATAGGCACAAAATTTGTTCTGTATGTCTATAAACCTAAACTTTAAGGCTCATACACACTAAACAAAATATACATCATATATATTACCATTTTGTTTATAGTAAGTTCATAAATTTCCTTCTATATATTCATAAAAATAAATCTTAATGTATACTTAACATTTTTAGTCCCTCAATTATTCCACACTAACAATTTTAGTCCATAATTTTTTACCGTTGTGATAATCACAACCCCTAACTCTTCAAAAAGTTACAGTTTTAACCCTTGAAGCAACAAAACTATTAAATTCTATTAAAATTTTACTTGGTAATGAGATTTTTAAAATTTTATTATATTTATGCTTTATAACTTTTTCAATTTTGATATTTTATTTGCAAAATAAAGAATCGGCAACTTTCTTCCCTAAATTTTTCTTCATATACTAAAGAAACATTAAAAAGTACTAAATTACGCATGTACTAAGTAAATTTTTATAGAGTTTAATATTTTGTTGCTCTAATGATTAAAACTTTAACTTTTCAATAGAGTTAAGGATATATATTGCAACTATAAAAAGTTAGAGACTAAAACAACTAAAAAATTAAATAAGAAACTAAAATTACATTTTTCGTTAAATTAAACTAGCTACATAAGTACCGACAGATATGCCATGGACCCGGGTCCACCTTTGCAAGGTGGACTAGGGTCAAAATACACAATTTATATACTGAATGTTCACAATTCAAATTGTAAACATTCAGTATGTAAATTGTGAACATTTAGTATATAAAATTATAAACATTTACTATGTAAATTGTGAACATTTAGTATATAAAGTTGTAAACATTAAGTATGTAAATTATGAACATTGAGTATGTAAATTGTGATCATTTAGTATATAAAATTGTAAACATTCAGTATGTAAATTATAAACATTCATTATATAAATTGTGAAAATTTAGTATATAAAATTGTAAACATTTAATATGTAAATTGTGAACATTTACTATATAAATTATGTATTTTTATAGAATAATTTGCCCATAAACACATAACCTTAATCAAGTTGAAATAATTGTCAACTAGCTAGAATTTAATAGCGGCCCGCCCATTGTGGGCAAAAAAATTGTTGCAGACTTCACGGGCCGGCATACAAGCTAGGATCATCTAGCCCTAATACGCCTCATGAAAGCGAATTATGCTCTGGAAACGTGTTCACCATGAATGGTGAACACGGGTCTATATGGTATCGTTTTTACGGAAAATATTTTTTTTTAGTTAATGTGCTATTAACGACGTGCGTTTTTTCAGATTATGAATTTTCTGTTATGAGATTATGAATGTACTATAAATTCATAATCTTATAACAGAAAATTTATAATCGCATAAAAGAAAAACATTTATTAAATTATGAATTTTCTGTTATGAGATTATGAATTTACAGTTATGTAATTATGAATTTTTGGTAAATTCATAATTTCATAACAAAAAATTCATAATTTCATAACAGAAAATTTATAATCGTATACCAGAAAATTCATAATCTCATAACAGAAAATTCATAATTTCATAACAGAAACTTCATAATCTCATAAAAGAAAATTCATAATTTCATAACTGCACATTCATAAATCCATGCCTTCACATTCATAATTTATGAATGTTGAAGAAACTTGCGCGAAGAGGAAGTGAAACCGCGAAATATGAAAATAAAGAAGAAAAGTTGTGCTGTTAATTAAGACCAAAAAAAAAAAAGAAAAAAAGAAGAAGAAGATAACGGTGCACTGTTACCGTTGGGACCGTGTTCACCATCCATGGTGAACACGGTTCCATGGCATAACGATTGTCATGAAAGTTGATGAGTTTTGCAATCGTTATACGATGAACCATGCATGGTGATACATCATAGATATATATATTGTGAAATTAAATTGTAACATAATTAATTAAAATGATACTTTAATATTGTTATAATAAACTTATTGTGTGTATATAATAAAAATGAATAGCAAAACTCATATAGATATGTATATTTTCAAATGAACATGTAATAGACTTAAAATGACACTTTATTGTTGTTAAAGGGAACTTATGGTATGTATAAAATGAAATTGAATAACGAGGCTCATACATATATGTATATTGTCAAATGAACATATTTTGGAATTAAAATAATACTTTAGTATTGCTATATTGAACCTATTATGGGTACAAAATGAAAACGGATAATAGAGATATGAAATGTAATTAAAATAATATTTCACCGGTAGTGAATTACGAAAATGTTAAACGACATCGTTTTACTTCATGGTCCACGCTCCTACATGTACCATTGTCAATAGTAAAATTTGCCTGAGTTTCGTGGTTCAACTTGTGGGTTAGATTTTGAAATAA